AAAAATTGAGTTGTTTCCATCATATACATTTTTATTAAAAGTTCAGAAAATTATTTAACCTTATAGTTCCCACAAATAATGATTTTCTTTACTTTTTACTTCTTAGTAGTTAAATATTTAATATTCCATTTGTTTTTCTTTTTTTTTAGATTACAAAAATTACCAAAGTATATTCTTTTAGAAAATGTTAAAGGTTTTGAAATGTCTTCTACCAGGTAAAAAATGTATTTGTCTTTTTTATATCTTGGTGTATTTTATAGTAGGAACTATTGTGAAATAAATAACTCAAGAATAAACACATACAATCTGGCATTTTATATGTACTAAATATTTATTAGTATTGCTTGTGACTAATAATATAAAAAGTATTACAGAGGATTTTCTGGAGGGCTGTGCTGGAGATTTACAAAGTTTTGTTCTACTGATTGTCCCCCATTTTGATATGTTTGAATTTTTCCAGAATGAGCATTGATTTTCATGGGAATGATTTTTCTTAATATTAGTCACTTATATTGGTGACTGTTGCTTTTGAAACAGAAGTGTTTTTTAGCAAGAACTGGTCCTATTGATGGGCATTTCCTGCTCTACAGTTAGACATAAGAAGAAGCCTTGCATCAGAATTTTGTCAGATGGTAGTCCAGTTGGGCAGAAGTCATCCGTCCGAGTCCTTGATTCACCTACTGTCCATCATATGCAAGTTCTCATCTGATCTGCTACCAAGAAGATATAGTTTTAGTACCCATGGAAAATCCATCATCAGTAGATTAGCAATTCAAACTTTTCATCAATTTAGATACATTATCTGGCATCTTTATTTACTTATAAGAGAATTATCTGTGTCTTTTTATTAAAATATAAATTTTCAAATACTAGAACTGAAATTAAGATAATTATCTTTCTAAACAGCTTGAGTGCAGTTACAATTTTCACTTACAATGAAGCTTTCTATACACTGTTTTATATAAGAACTCCACTTGCAAGAAAAGGGTGAAAATTCTACTCTTTCTTTTCTCTTTTCAGAGACATGTTGATACAAACAATAGAAAATTGTGGCTTTCAGTACCAAGAATTTCTGTTATCTCCAACCTCTGTAGGTACAACAATTATAATCTATTATATAAACTATAATTGAAAGGCTTTGGGCTGGGGATGTGGATCAAGCGGTAGCGCGCTCGCCTGGCATGCGTGCGGCCCAGGTTCGATCCTCAGCACCACATACAAAGATGTTGTGTCCGCCGAAAACTAATAAATAAATAAATTTTTTTTTTTAAAAAAAAAAAGAAAGGCTTTTTACCCCAATGTAAATTTTATTCAATAAACAGAATAGCTTTATTTTTTATAATATTTTATGCAAATTCTGAAATTATATCAGACAGGGGTCTTACTTTCTAAAGACTGTAGTACATACATATAGATATGTGTTGGAGCTCATAAAGAATATATTTTTATTTTATTTTTCCTGCACTGGGAATTGAATCCAGGACCTTGTACATTCGAGGTAAATGTTCTATCACTGAAGCAATGTATTATTCTTTTGAAAAATAAAGAATAGCACATTTTGGAAATATATAAATGTGGCATTTACAAATTAGGTGTGTTATCTAGATAATGCCTGAAAGTAATCCAAAATAGAAAAGGAAATGAACCATATGATAATTTTCCAATTATACTTTTTATGACATAGCATTCAGCCACAAACATTCATGGCTAAGAAATTAAGGTAACTGGTTGTAAGATAAGCTATTTGACAAATTTTGATTTTACAGGTATCACTGTTGTTTGTCATTTTTTGGTTTTGTTTTTCATAATCTTTACTGTATTATATAGTTCTTTGCCAAGAAATGAAAAGAAAACCCACTTAAAAAAATAGGTAAAAAGCTATAGAGATTGGTAATATATCTAATTTCTAAATTTATTTCCTACTTTTTCCCTTTTAACTTTTAAAGTAATGAATCTTCCTTTATTAATATAATAAAGTAATAGCCAAGAATAGCTATATTTGGTTTTATTTTTGTGATTACTGCAATAATAAGTGTAAACATATTTCTTCTTACTTAGAAAGTATAAAATAAAAATTACTCATAGAAATAATGACTTATCAGACTCATTATTTCATTTGAGTAAAGATACAGAATAGCTGTTCAGGGTTAGAACTTACTAGAATTTAACAGGTTTTAAATTTGTTGCAAAGAAGTTTTCCAAAAATCAGTAACATAGTTTTCTTTAGCAGAAGCTAGATGTATACCTGTACAAGATGTTTTACTAGGTGCTAAAATCAGTACAGATTTCTTTTTGTATAGTAATTAATTGCTCTGCTTTGATTGCAGCTTGGTATTCCAAATTCAAGGCTAAGGTATTTCCTTATTGCAAAGCTTCAGTCAGAGCCATTACCTTTTCAAGCTCCTGGTCAGGTATTGTTATTATGGTTCATTTGTTATAAATATATCCCAGTCTGCTAACTTATTTTCAAGAACTACTTTGTGTGGATTTATATCTGTCCTATAGAATGTGTATATACGTATAGACCATACTCTATGTCCATCTCCAATATCTTTGTCCTCTCTGAATGTCAGTTTTATTGGTTTAAACTAAACAAAACCAAAATGAAGCACTCAAATTTCTTTTTTCATTAGGAGGAAAAAAAAGTGAAAAGAAAAAAATTACTCTTGGTGGTGTTGTTCCCCCATCTCTCCCCACAATTTTTCTTCTGACCATTGACTATTTGCATTTATCATTTTCTCTCCCCAACTGAAGATTGGTTACTTTTGATAAAATATAATATACTGTCTTAAAAATTATTTAAGAGTATTTTAACACAGTGATTGCATTTTCTTTAAAACTAGTACTGTTTTTAGTGTATTAATTAAATAGTGTATAATTAAATAGTGTATTAATTAGTACAAGCTAGAGTAAAATGCTTAATTGCTATAGATAGGACTCTAATTATGGAACCAATTTTATGTGCTTTGATTAAAAAATGGGGTAGATAACAATTTCAGTGGTTCAATTAAGCTTTCTATAACCATCACTATTAAGTATTAAAATGCCAAGTCCTACTAATAGGGAATCAGTTTTTTAATTTCTTTTCTTTGAGATATAATACTAATATATTTCCCTTTCCATAGTGGACAGTTCCAAAAGCAATGTATAAAGTATATTATCAAAGACTTAATCCTTGAAAATGCCTGGAGTGGCTTTTCTTTTATAAAATGGGACTTTATACATGGTTATGAGTTTTGAAGAAACAGGTTTTTGTTGTGGGACTCAAGTAGAAATAACTTTTCATGGTGAAAAGCACTGTTTTTAATCACTAGTTTTCTTTTAGATTATGATTGTGTTCCAGTTTTTCCTTTCAAATAAAGAACATGGAAAATATATATTTTTGAAATGTAATGTTGCTTTCTAAACTTTTTCAAATATTATACTGTACCCATATTTAATATACTTCCTATTACTTTGTTGAATGTTTTGTTAATAAATACAGAAAATAGTAATTTCATGAAACAAATCATCTGTAGTCTGATGGCACTATAGCTATATGATTAATAACTTGAAATAACTGGTACAAACACAAGATAGCCACAGTTCCTTTCTAATAACAACACTGTAAACATTAAAGAGGTATTTACATAATATTTACTGAACATTATTAATTTGTCTTTTATTTTTAATAAGACTTTTGACAGTTTCTATTTTTTTACTTAATGCCAGGTACTGATGGAGTTTCCCAAAACTGAATATGAGTATCCACAAAAATGTGCAGTGGACGCAGAAAATAAAATTAAAATAAAGGAAACAGAACCCAATATTTGCTTTGATAGCAGTATGGAATGTTCTGGAAAAGATGCCATTCTTTTTAAACTTGAAACTGTAGAAGAAATTAAAAGAAAACATCAACAGGACAGTGATCTCTCTGTGCAAATGTTAAAAGATTTTCTTGAAGATGATATTGACATCAGTCAGTACATTTTACCCTCGAAGTCATTGCTTCGATATGCTCTTTTATTAGATATTGTTAAGCCCACTTGCAGAAGGTCCACATGCTTTACCAAAGGGTAAGTTTTAAAGAGAACTTATTCATGTTATATTCAAAATAACCAGGTTTTTATAGCTGTTATTTCTTTAGTTCTTCTGAAAACAAGGAGAATTTTATAAAATGTTTCTGATAGCATTTTTACTTGTATTGTTATTATTTTTGTCCCTAATTGCCTGCTTCATGTTCCAGTAGAACACAAGTGAAAATTCCTTCTGGCAGAACATTATGTACACCACCCACAAAAGTGTTCAGAAGAGACAAGGCCATTTGTTTCATGACCTTCGTAGGAGCTTAAATACTCATGGTGTAAACATGGTTTTTGTAGCTCATAAATTTCCAGTGTTTTAGCACCTTTCTTTCTATGACACGTCAAACCTCTAAAAGTTATGTCCACTCTGTGATCATTGTATAAGAAGAAGTTATATTTCAATTTAAATAAATAAAATTGAGTCAGCTGAAGCACATTCAATTAATTTTTAATTTAAATTTTTTTTGAGGGAGTAGTATATTTCCGTGTTTCAAAATTTGAAAGTCACTAAATTTTGTTTGTTTGTTTTTGTTTTTTTGCGGTACTGGGAATTGAACCCAGGGTCTTTGAGCAAATGCTCTACCTCTGATTCATAGCTCTTAAGGTACTAAGATTGCTTAAGATTCCCTTCTACTTCTGTTTCTTGGCTGTGCAAAGCAAACCAATATATCAATGCACTGTGTAATCTTTATGAAGTATTAATTGTAAGGATGTGTTTAAGTACATTATTATATGCCTTTTTTTCTCTGCCCAGTATAAATTGGATATTATTTCACATCAGTACATAAAAGTCTTTTTTATTTTCCTGGTATGGGTATATCATTATTTGTTTTACTCATTAGTTATTGGCTAACATTTAAGGGGCTTCTTTTGGCTTATTTATTGAATGTTTAATATATTTTTCATCAATGTTTTTAAACCTAGAAAGAACATTAGGCCTTTTCAGAAATTTTTTGTCAAAGATCCCTACCACTCAGCCTCATTTGATAGGTAGTTGTATGATTTGACAATTCAAGCATTTTCTTCTTACCTTCTCACTAGATATGTTGTATAAGACACTGTG